GCACCCAAAGAGTAGTTGTCAATGGCATTTCATCTGAATGGAGGGAGGTGACCAGTGGGGTGCCACAGGGCTCAGTTCTGGCCCCAGTGCTTTCGAATATTTTTATAAATGATCTGGATGAGGGTGTGGAAGGGCTACTCATTAAATTTGCAGATGACACCAAATTGGGAGGAGAAGCAAACACACCAGAAGACAGAGACAGAATTCAATGAGATCTGAACATGCTGGAAAAGTGGGCAGATGTAAACAAGATGCTATTTAACAAGGATAAGTGCCGAGTTCTACATCTGGGTAACAAAAATGAGGAACATGCATACTGGAATGGGAATACACTTCTGGGTAGCAGAGTATGGGTGGACCGTAATTTAAATATGAGCAGCCAGTGTGATGCAGCATCAAAAAAGGTTACTGTAATCTTGGGTTGTATCAACAGAGGCATAACATCCAAATCACAAGATATCATAGTTCCACTGTACACTGCATTGGTCAGGCCACACCTGGAGTATTGTGTGCACTTCTGGAGGCCTTACTTCAATAAGGATGTGGACAGAATGGAGCAGGTGCAGAGGAGAGCGACAAGGATGATAGGGGCCTGGAGACCAAGCCCTCTGAGAAAAGGCTAAGGGATTTGGGAATGTTCAGTCTGGAGAAGAGGAGGTCTGAGGGGGGACATGACTGATTGCTCTCTTTAAGTATTTGAAGGTCTGTCGCTTAGAGGAGGACAAGGAGCTGTTCCTGTTGGCAGCAGAGGACAGGACGCGCAATAATGGGTTTAAATTAAGGGTTGGAAGGTACCGGCTGGATATTAGGAAAAACTTTTTTACAGTGAGTAAGAGTAAGAAGTAAGTAAGAGTTGCTCAATGGTGGAATCAGCTACCTAGGGAGGTGGTGAGCTCCCCCTCACTGGCATTCTTTAAGCAGCAGCTGCACAAAGAGTGCTTAAGGAAGATGGGGAGATGACAGAGAAACTGAATGAATTCTCTGCTTTTGTTTTCACTGCTGGGTAGACATTACCCTAGGAGCTGCGGTGGCTCAAGTGGTTAAGACGCTGAACTACAGGCTGTGGAAGGTCGGTAGTTCAGCAGTTCGAGACCTGAGTGTGCCGCATGACGGAGTGAGCTCCCGTCTCTAGTTCCAGCTCCTGCCAACCTAGCAGTTCGAAAGCAAGAAATTGCAAGTAGTTAAATAGGTACCACTTCGGTGGGAAGGTAACAGCGTTCCGTGCGCCTTGGTGTTTAGTCATGCCGGCCACATGACCACGGAAACGTCTTCGGACAGTGCTGGCTCTTCGGCTTTGAAACAGAGATGAGCACCGCAACCCTAGAGTCGGACTCGACTGGCTTTCGAGCAAGGGAACCTTTACCTTTAGGCATTACCCTGAGCAAGCCCTTCAGGCACATCTGCATCTGAGCCTAACATCACTGTGGATACTTAAATGGGCTTGAATTTCAGCAAATAAAAAGGAACTATGGTCCAGCATGGCCTATTACTTTCAAAAGAAGGAAACTTGGCATAAATCTTGGAAGCAAGTTATTTGTCCTCACAATAATAATTTAACAGGAACAGTGTAGGCATACAGTAGGAAGTATGTTTTATTTCTGAGACTGTTCAGTTATTTATCTCTAGTCTGGATTCTGGACAGTAGAGTAGTTCTATATCTATAATGCAGTTTCAGCTCACAGGCAGGGACATCATTTTAAGTTTCATGGTGTGTGGGAAGATTCATATTAAAAGTTCAAAGCCCCACATTTTGCTATAATTAAATTGCAAAAAAGAAAGGAAGGGAAGAACATATTTTAAGAGTATCCCATGTTTATAACTCCTGTGACTAAACATATAGTTGCTTCTGAAGAATAACTGCATGGGTTTTGAAACCCACTTTCTGCTCAGTGTAAATGGCACCTCCACTAAAAGGATTCACACCACCAGTTCTCTAGAGTGGTAGACTTCCATCTTCATATATTTCCAGTGTCTGTGGTTGGAGATGAAAATGGAAAAAGGAATCTCTCACCCAGGCCACTATGCCATTCCCCTCTCCTTTGCATCCAGAATTAAATGCTGCCTTCTTTCTTTTCAGAAGGTGTTCCAAACTGATGCAACCACACCACCTTTCCTGTTTCTTTCTGGAACAGGGAGCTGCCAAGAATGGGAGATTTGTTATACCTACGCCGAGAAAGAAAGAGGAAACTCCCTACTGGCTATGACAGGTGGTGGAGGGACTGTGCACAGCTGTTGGGTGCTCTGCAGTGACTTGGGTAGCCTGTCCAACAGCTGTGTGAAGGCCAAGCATTTATCGCCTAATGGAAATGTTCTGGGTCGTTAGCATTCCTGGCCACTTGCTTTGAGATGCTGGCTGGGCTTCATTGGCTCGCCAAGAGGCAACTGGCTTACCTACAGCTAACTGGACAGTGCAAGCTGTTTGGCTAGACCTGCTCCCTTCCCTGCACTAGTTCTTTACTGTCATATAGTAGCTGATGTAATCCCTACCTATTCAATCTATACTGCTCTCCACCATCCTTTGGAAGAGGTTTGTATAAAAGAGTGTGTTGAGTCTGCATTGTCTCACAGGTTTCCAGGAGAGATACAGGGACCCTGCTGGGAGAGGACCCTAGTTCAAACTGTTGAAGGGTCAAAACAATTCTGTTCAATTCACAAGCAAAGATGAAGACAAGTTTAGAGCATCTTTCTGGCTGTCATTGAAAACAGAAGGCAGGACCTGATGGCACTTGGTCGACAGAGAAAGTGAGTTATTTTCCTATCTCCATAGGGGTCATAGAGGGTTTTTCATTCACTCTGAATTCTGTTCCTCATATATGGAAAAAGCATGCAGGCACCAATCCACAGGAAAGAAGAATCAATGCTGTATGCAAAAGCCCACTGAAATCAATTCTGAAATGTGACCTGGGGAGAAATGTAGTCTAGCCCAAATTCCTATATCACTTTAGGCAAAAATGGAGTACTAAAGACTCTCGGATTCTTGGAATAGTCTGTACTGTGAAGAGAAGAACTGAAGCTGGAATCTACTGTTGCTATCACTTCCTCTCAACTGGCCATATTACTAAATAGCATTTTTACAAGTGTTGCTAGAGTGAAGGAGATCAGCTAAATAAAATACAGAAGAACAGCCCTGTTGGTGAGTCTGGTGGATACCCCAGTGAACCAACCCATAATGTTCATTATCCAGGCTGTTAACTGGCGGTGGTTGTGGTGGAGGAGGAAGTATTTGTGTATTCTCTTCAGTGCACATCAATGGGTACCTGTGCCCAGGAAAAGCACCTCATAGCGCCCATCAGCTGCATCCACCTGGTCCACGGCAATGGTTGTGAACTTGTAGTGGACGTTGGTCCTCACGACTAGTGGCTGGCGGTGTATGGGGTACACACCATTGTACATCATGGGATGTGTGCGCATGAAATTGATAACCTCATCAGGGTAGTCCTTGGTTGATTTCATCGAAGGAGTGAACGTCCCTCCTGGACACTGGAAATCCAAGACAGAAATACAGAACGGGCATGAGAAACAGCATCACAGACATCCCTATCAACAAGCAGATTGCTTTTCTCCAACTTCTCCTGGTGCTGTCAGATGCATATGCTATAAGACTAGGATAAGAAATTGACTGCCTATAGGCTCAATGTGACCCATAGATGCTTCCCATCTGGCCTCCACTACAGCCCCAAGGTTTCACCACAATATATTATGCACCCTGGTGGCTTTTTGCAGCATAATTCTCTCCTTGTGTACTTCAGCTCAGTACATGGGAGTCAGCAGATGAGATGCATCAGGAGTCCTGCTGTTCTTCATTCTGGGGGAGGGATGGGCTGGAGGAAACTTTCTCCTGTATCTTGGGCTGGTGGGCAGAGTGAGTCATTAGGTGGAGTCAGTAATGTTGATCCTTCAACCTCCCTGCCATTGAGTGTTGCTGGCCCTTCAGATTAGGGTTTTAAGATCTTCACTCTTAACAATTACCTCATGCTGGGTTTTTTAATCACTGTTGTATATTTTATTTTTAATATTAATTGTTATAAACTTGACTGTTAGAGCCTATAGCCAAAGCAAATAACACACTAACACATTTATTTACCAAGAAACACTGTGAGAGCCAAATACAGCCTATCCTTTGTGTTTTTGGATGCCTCCCCACAGCACACCGAGACCATCTCTGGCTCTTTCTGGTCTTACTGGGTATATGAGAAAAAAAAGACCAAGGAGTGGCATTCTCCAGGCCAATGAAATGAAGCAATGAGATCTCCTTATTTTTGTGTATTTTGCCAGGAAGGAAGAGATGCCAGCAAATGGATCCAGAGACCACCAACCTGGAGAGGAAACACTAATCAGCCTCCCACGCCGTGGCCAAATGTCAAGCAGTGCACAGCACTGAAAAGCTTGGCTGCAATGTCGCAAAGGATATGGATACCACGGGAGGCTGGGGGAACACTGTACAGTGGAAAGACGGGAACTGAGAGAGGAACAAGTTCAAGAGAGGTGTACAAGACAAGAAATGTACGGGCAAAGAAAGAGCAGTTGGGCTGGGGGGGGATGTGTGTTCAACAGGAAGAGCAATCTAAGCATTTCATACTGCTGAATGCCACCAATAAATCCCTTCACTGCAACCTTGAAAACTGCTAAGGTAGAAGTACAAACAAATACACTAAGCCAGACCCCCACTGGTCCTCCCAGCAGCGGCTTCCTAAGGTCCCAAGCAGAGCTTTTATCCAAGGCATGCTAGCTGATATCCTGGCAACTGGAGACAGCAGAGATTTTGCTGGGACTTTCTGCATGCAGAGCACATGTTCTACCACTGAGCACTGGCTCTTTCCCAAGCCTGCCAACTCCATGTCATTTGTTTTCTTAATTGTTACAGTTTAAACATTACTTCATAAGAGTACTCATATGAAGCTGCCTTTTACTGAGTCAGACCATTATTATGGAGCAGAACCTGATTCTTTTTTGAATAAAACTTCATCGACCACAGAATTCCTCAGGAGCCAAGAGGCTCGCAACACAATTTGGGATTTGCTCTATATGAATGCATTCCTCCTTGCATTCCATTATATTTTGTTTTGTGGTGGTTCATCTAGCCTAAAAGTGTTGGCAGCAACGTTTTAGGGTATTGGTGTCACACAAAGTACTGTTCACCCGTCTCAGTGTGCATCCTGACTTTACGCAGGAAGTACACATTTTCTCATACATCTTTTATTGCTTATACGTACATATACAAATCTTCTCATTTTCTTTTTGTTTTTTACTCTTTTGTGTGTGTGTGTGTGTGCTTGCGAACCTGGCAGTCATGGTGATTTCTGGCAACCCCTAGTGGGGTTAGGATGTTTCAGAGAGGTGGCGTTGATATTATCTGCCTCATTGTCCCAGCCCTGGTATTCCTGTACTTGCCAGGGTCAGCCTTCCTTTGCTTCCGAGATGATCCAGGGCTCTTTTTGTAGCAGGAACTCCTTTGCATATTAGGCGACACAACCCTAATGTAGCCGATCCTCCAACAGCTTACAGAGCTCTTCTTACAGGGGCTACTGTAAGCTCTTGGAGGATCGGCTACATTAGGGGTGTGTCGCCTAATATGCAAAGGAGTTCCTGCTACAAAAAGAGCCCTGCCGAGATCTGACAAGATCAGGCTTGCCTGGGCTATGCAGGTCAGAGGCATATACAAATCTTCTGATGTTGAATGTGTCGATGGGTGGGGAGGAGAGCCGCACTTCAGGCCAGTGCTGTAGAAGAAAAGTGATTTCCCAAGGGTCTTTTCCACACTTACGGTGCCAGGTCGAGGGTAGGGCATTTTGCCTGTGTAAGGCATCCACTGGTAGTTGGGGCCTTCCTTGTGTGCAAAAGGTCCATTGAAGACCATACGGATATCCCCCATGGAGTAGACACACACAGCAGAGCCTTTAAATACAGACCTGTGTAAGGACAGAATGACCTCTGTTAGTTCCAAAGGTGACCATTTCACTCACATATGAAAACTGTCTGCATTGCTCCATTCTTGTCTGCACCATATACTCCCAGCAGGCTCTCCTGACCTCTTGTCCCTCACAGCTGCAAAGGAGCAATATGCTTCTCTGCTCACTCCTGGTTGCTGGCAAGCCCTGGAAATGCCCCTTAAACCTCACATGTGCAATGACATGGACCTTAGAAAGCCAGGGATTTCCTGCCTGGCACAGAGCACCAATCCAGCAAGAGGGGGGTGCGGAATAAGACAATGCAATTTTGGTGTTCTCTGACCAGCTCCATGCAGCTGTTTCAGAGTTATCAAGCCATGTTCCCTGTGATATAACATTCCAGGATTAGTCACTCCAGCCACATACACTGAGAAACCACACTAGCTGCTGGCTGCTTGTTGGTCTAACAAAGGACCTGATGCCCTCCTGACCTTCCAGGGGTGTAAACAGATCCTGAATTGTGGCAGGGGGGGAAATGCCACCTGCCTTCTTCCCCAGGGGATCAAGTCATCAACTACAGCTGCCACAGTTTATGGGAAAACCCCAAGCTTGGCAAGCAAGCACTTGGGCTCTATTCCCAGCTCTGCCAGGAGGCTCTAGGATGACCCTTTTCACTTCTTGGCCAGGAAGAAACACAGTAAGGCAGGGCTGTTGGTTTCAATGTACGGATGGGTTTGTGAAACCATGTGACATGGGGGGGAGAGGCTCCAAAATCCTGACCCCTGAGCACTCACCCAGAAGCAGCAAAGACAGCATAAATGATGGGGTTCTTCACATCCTGAGTCTGCTGGATGAAGACATCCTCTTGAAGAAGAAGAAGAAAGTCAGCAACTTATAGCCATATGTGTATGGTGGGTGAGAAGGTGATTGTGAAAGTGGAATGCAATGAAATCATTAAGACAACTGAAGCGGAAGTGCTTTGTTGAGGGCAGAAGCAAACATTACAAGAAATACAGTTACCACCAACGTTCCCTCTAAGCTGTGGAGTTCAAAAACATTCAGTAGAGTGCAACATGCAGAGTGACACTGTCCTGCTATACATTTTCCCCCACAGCTGATGTGGTAAGATGCAAGGCAGGGACAGGGACACGCAGAGTTTGAGGAGTACACAATGTGCTCTGCTAGAGATTCCCTGGAAGAGAGGGGAAAGAAACATGCAGCAGCAGCTGCTTGGAACCTCCAGTCACATCTAATTCAACCCAAGGTAAGAAGAAGGGGCAAAGAACCAAAGGACTAAGAAATGCATGCTGACCCAGCCTACTGATGTGGTAAGATGCAAGGCAGGGACAGGGACACACAGAGTTTGAGGAGTACACAATGTGCTCTGCTAGAGATTCCCTGGAAGAGAGGGGAAAGAAACATGCAGCAGTAGCTGCTTGGAACCTCCAGTCACATCTAATTCAACCCAAGGTAAGAAGAATGTGCAAAGAACCAAAGGACTAAGAACCCTTGAAAATGCATGCTGACCCAGCCTAGCCTAGTGTTTAGATCAGATCTGTGCAGATGCAGAGTTGTAGCTGAAAGTGTATTATTTATTTACAATCCTGACCTGGATAGCCCAGGCTAGCCCGATCCTGTCACATCTTGGAAGCTAAGCAGGGTTGGCCCTGGCTAGTATTTGGAAGGGTGACCTCCAAGGAATACCAGGGGCATGATGCAGAGGCAGGTGATGACAAACCACCTCTGAAATGCCTCTTGCCTTAAAAACAAGTCTAGCTCACCACCTATTGGTGCATAATGCTAAAAGAGCTTGAACCTTTGGCTGCCAGACAATCTTAGGATCTCCTGGCCATACTACATATACAGCCATATGATAATTATTAATTATTATTTACTTACTTCATTTCTACCCTGCCTTTCTCCCCAGTGGGGATCCAAAGATTATTCTCCTCTTCTTCATTTTATCCTAACAGTGACCCTACAACATAGGTTAGGCTGACAGTATGTGACTGGCCCAAGGTCACCCAGCAGGGTTCCATGGCAGAGTGGGGATTTGGACCTGGCTCTCCCAAATACTAGTGTGACACTCTAACCACTATGGCACACTGGCCACACCTGCCCAGTCTGATGGTGACCAGCATAATAAGCCAGGGCAGAACAGTGCTGCGATCTCATGAAGCTGCCTTACAGTGAATGAGACCACTGATCTATCAAAGTCAATACTGTCTACTTTGGCTGGCAGTTGTTCTGCAGGATATCAGGCAAAGGTCTTTCACATCACCTGCTACCTGATCCTTTTCACTGGAGATGCCAGGGATTGAACCTGGGACCTTTTGCATCCCATCAGATGCTCTGCCACTGAGCCACACATCTCCTCTCTAATTTCTAATGGTCACTACTGAAGACATCTTTGTTGCACTTTGTTTTTGTTCCCACCCCCCCGGAAAATCTCAATTCCATCATGAAGCCTGTACAGGTGTCTTATGAGTGTAAATTCTAAGCAGTCCCAGTTGCTTAAAGAAAAAAGAGTCGTTGGGAGCCAAAGACTCTGTCTTCATCCAACCTCCAACGAAAGTGAAGGAACCAAAGTATTCTTTGATAATCTGGCAGTGATTTTGGCAAAAGCAAAGCCAACCACATGTGAGAAGAAGACAATGCTACAATGCTCCCTAGCAGAGATGATCCATCACAGGCCACTGAAAAATCTAAAAGCTACCCTTGGGCTGCTCACACAGGGGCCAGGAGCCACCTGAATATTCTGTGTTAAGAAGAAGCTGGCAGGGTTGCTGCGCTGCTCAGTCATGCCAGCTCCTGTCCCAAATGTTTCAAGCCCATGAGCAAGTGAAGTTGCATCTCTGTGTGAATGAGCTGCCACCCTCTACTCAGCCTGCGCATCCTGTGAAATCTTTTTGGGGGAGGAAGACCTTTGCAATAGAAGCATACTGCCCAATGAACCAAGACCATTTCTATCAAAAAGCCATGCTTGTTGTAATTTACCCCCCTCTGTATCATCTATCCATCTATCCATCCATCCATCCATCCATCTATCTATCTTTTGAATCTGTCTAAATGTCACTGTTAACTTCCCTACAACTTGACCTAAATGTCATCTCTAGACAGACATTGTTCAGCTTGCCCCATCAGAGAGATAGAAGGCTTTGTGATTCTTTGGCTTGTCTGTTCTCTATAAATGAGTTAGATCACAGACTGAACTTACCTATTATAAAGGAAAACCTGTCAGGAAGTTTGTGACATGGCAGATCTTACAGATAATTTTGTCTCTCCACCCAACAAAATTCCAAGCAATAAAGGAACTTATACCTTACTCCACCTCACCAGCTGCCTTCTCCACAACCACACCTATTTTTCCATTATAACAATAAAGTGTTTACATAGGGGAGGGTATTACTGAGCATCTTGTTCAGTCAATTTCCAATGAGCTCTTATTCATAAGCTTCTGCCCTCAGTGACCCAACAAGGGATCTGGAACATCCAATACTTAACTTGATCATGCTTTCATTAAGACTGAGACCTGACATCCTGTTTCATTGCCAAGGCTCAGTCCTGATGCATGTGAAGTAATAAAAGGAAGTGTTGCTTTGGGCATGTACCCCATGACCACTGAGTAATGTATTGCCTTCCACATTCCCCTTCCCTTGCAAAATCCCTGCCCTCAGAATACTCACGGAGTTCATCGAAATGTGTTTCAATCCCATCAGGCCCTGGCACAGAACAAATAAGTCGCGCCTTCAGGAATGTACTCCACTTATTAACCAAGCAGCAGTGGCCTCCATCATCATTCTATGCCAAAAGAAAACAGTGTTCTGAGGTGCAGGAAACATAACACAGGCTAGAGCTCCTATTGACTGTAGCCCAGTGGCACTGAAATCAGCAAGGCTTACAATCAAGTACTCCTGGTTAGGATTGGGCTGCCAGACTTACAAGAATTTTATTTAACATTTTCCTGCAGGGGAACAGTGTGGGAAGGAAGCAAAGTAGGAGTGCTGATTGAACAGGAATGCCCAGTTGTTCCAGGCCCAGCAGTTTCTAGCAGAAGGCAATACAGGGAAGGAAAGAGAAAGCAGCAGCACTGAGAGTGGTAGAGCTCAGAGCAACCATGACTCTCTGGCCATTCACAACAGATATGGGTAATCTAGAGAAGAGAGTCCAGGCTCAAGGGATGTACAGGGAGAATCCAGTGACACCCAGCCCCATTCTTTCCCAACACATACCAGGCAAATGCGACCAATGCGGGAGTAGACAACAGGGCTCTGTGGGGCGTCGGTGGATTTCTCTCGGAAGAAGAAGTAAAGCTTGTCATCATTCCGCTCAGCACTGTCTGGGATGAGCTGGGCATGAACAAATGCTGGATCTGCAATGATAAGTTAAATGGAGAGCATGGCTAGTGTGCACATGCATATTTTTCCAGCTTCCATTTCTTCCAGGGTCAAGAGTCTTGCAGGTCCTTCTGGGGTTACAACAGGGACCACCATGGGTCCTCAGTGGCTCATGGAGGTCACCTGGCCACAGATTGCTTCATCTCCATTAGAAAAGGTCACATCTTATCCCTCAGTGAAGTTTCTTCTTCATCCCAACTCCCATCCCAAGCATGTATTTAGCTAGGGAATCATTGCTAATTCCTGTTATTTTATGTATTTCTCCAGCAGATATAGTATGGCTGTGGTCAGGCGGGCAGCTTATCCCACTGTTGCCACAGCTGTAATTTGATCTAGATCTTTTTGTTCCACTGTGGTTCAACCAGACATTCTCACTGGGCACTGACTCAGTGGTTGAGTGTCCAGACTTTCACTGGGCGGCAACCACCAGGTGTGCGATTGGCAGGTTTTTTAAATCTCTATGCTTGCACATGCGCATAGGTGTTTTCTTGAATTCTTGTTTTTCGCACATGTACAAAAATGCTAACTCGAATCACCACTTCCAAAAATGGCTCCCATAGATATCTGCCCAGGAACTATTTGGACTAACATCAGACCTCAATAAAAATACAAAATTACCCAGCTAGTACTGTGACAGTTGCAGGATTACCTCCCTCACATTCACAGTCCCAAAAAGAAATAAAGCACAGGACCGCCCGTGCATTTGATAATATATGTTGGCAATTACACATCACTAACAGAGTGAAAAATGGTGCCGAAATGGAAGAGATGGTTTCCTTCTGTGCTGGCCTAATTGCGCGGGAGATCAACCAGACATCCGCAGGTCCATGATAATGCTGGTAAGCAGCAAATACCAGACTTTCTGCAGGGTCAGGAAAATCAGGGGTAAGTATGGGAGGCTGACGACTGCAGAACAGGAGCCAGATGCTGCTTTTTGAACAGACACTTTAAATCTGGATGGGAGGAGCGATGACCACAGATCAAAGTGTCTGTTTGATTGCAGCCTATGAAAACATGGGGTTGGATCCCATGGAAAAGATCCCTGTGTGTAATGGGGAGGTGATTTTTGCAAATTCCCCATTCATGCGGCTCCTGGGGGTTCCCTGTCCCCCAGGACCAGCATTTCAGGGTAATTTCAGGGTGCAGTGCGTGAAGGAGGGCAGGAAAGTTGTGCTGCATGGAATTTAGACAAGCTACAACCCATGCTGTTTACTTAACATATGAAGCAATTATCTTCACACTCTCCATAGCATTGTCTGAAACATGTGTTTTTTTTAAATGCAAGGACATTTCTTGATTGAAAAGCAGTCTATTCTTGCATGCACAGACTTCATTTTTCCTTTGTAAACATACACTTCATTCACAGAATTCTGTGCCGCCACCACCTTCTGGCTCCTTTGAACAGCTTAAGATACCCCTTCCCATCTGACCTGTTCAAAATAGCCACCACTGGTCAGCTTGTTACAAAGGACTAGGACAGGACAATCCCTCTAAAATAAGTCCTGGTTGTTTAGTTCAGGGCTAACATTCTACCAAGTCTCTGCTGATCCTGGTGGGTTGATGGCCTGGGGAGTCTGCCCCTCCCCCTCTCCAGGGCAGGGCTTTTTTTGTAGAAAAATCCCAGCAGGAACTCATTAGCATAATAGGCCACACCCAACAGCAGGAACTCATTAGCATATTAGGCCACACCCCTGACAGCACAGCTCATTGGCATATTAGGCCACACCCCCATCCAGCCACACCCACCTTTTGCTTCTTATTCTGTTTACCTTGTTTGTTGTCAAAACCCAGGGCTTTTTTGTAGCAGGAACTCCTTTGCATGTTAGGCCACACACCCCTAATGTAGCCAATCCTAATGAGTTTCTGGTGTTGGGTGTGGCCTATTATGCTAATGAGTTCCTGCTGGGCATGACCAACTTGGAAGCCAGCCGGAACTCCATTCCTGTGCGTTCCTGCCCAAAAATAGCCCTGCTCCAGGGACACACAGAACCCAAACAAACGGTGGCCCTTGTCCCACATGGGGCGAGTGTGAGCCACCACCATGAGCTGGCAGTCTGAAGCCACATGCAGCACGGAGAAGGAAGTGCCTAGCCCAGATAAGTCCTGCACAGCAAAGGAGGCATCTTGTCAAGCCCCATATAGTGTGAGGCTGGCTGGGCAAATTCTTTCTCTCTCCCTCTTTTTTTTGGTGGGGGTGGGTAAAGCGTTTTTTCCTTCACAGTCCACCTTTAGAGTGATGGACTTTAATCTAGTTCGATTCCCCACTCCTCCATGTGAAGTCAGCTGGGGGACCTTGGGTCAGTCACAGCTCTTTCAGAGGTCTCTCAACCCAGAAAACAAGCCTAGCTTGCCACTGAGCAAGAGCTTCAGGCAGCCAGACAATTCTTGGATCTCCTTGGATCTCTACACACAATGCCATACTTAATTGGTAGCCCACTTTTGGATTTTGGGATCTGTTTATGATAGCACAGTAAAACATCAGTCCAGATAGTCAAACTGAGACTTAGACATGCAGTTAAGAAGCAATCACATGACTACTGAGAAGTTCAACACTGTCTACCCATGCTCCAATTATATTTATTTCACTCTGTTTTAAAGTCTTGGTTCCACCATATAGCACAAAAAGTAGGACCCCAAGATGACTTTTAAAATGTTCAGATACACAGAATAACAACTAAAGGAACAAAATCCAGTAGTATAGAAAGCAACCAACCAAGCGAAGCCTACAACGGTGGCAACATTTCGGCTCACTTGCAGGGTCACTTGAGGTCAGCTCATGTAAGCACCAGGCATCGGCTGGCAGCTTGTTTCTTCAGTTCACAGTGGCTCACTGCCCATGGGAAGTAGGTCCCTAAGGTGATTTATGGTGGCATATAAATCCTGCAGCTTCTGATTATGGCACACAAACAATATGACCTGCTCCAATCAAACAATGAGTCAGCCAGGAGCACTCATTGACCAAGCAGTTGCATATACTCCTCCTAGATCAGCCTTCCGGCTTTCAGCAGCTGGTGCTTTCCTCTCCTATCCAATAGAGAAGCCTTTCCACAGAGCACTGATAGAAGGATTAGCTGTAAAGTCATGGTATGTGGACCACTATGTGGTCTGGAACACTTGGAAAACAATCCCCTGTGTAAATTAACACTTTCTTGCACAGTCTCCACATGCTCTTTCAGCACCCCCAATAAAAGCTGTTCCTTATTACTTCTCACCGTATGACAATGTGACCCACTTTGAAGCTAGGTGTTTTCTGCCTTAAAGCTGTTTTTTTAATGGATGTGGTGGGTCAGCCTGAGCCACACACCAAAGCTAGAGAAGCAAATCTTAAAGTAAGCTATTTGAAAGAACTTGGCCTAATGCTCAATAAGTTTAGCAGCTGTTTGCTTGACTGCTGCAAGAAATCTAGCTGTGTGTTTGATTAGCTAAGCCTTGGTCTACTGAGCTGGAGCCTTGAGCTCTATTCCTTGTATAACCTCATTTGTAACATACAATGAGGTAGCTGAGAATCCTTAACTTGCTGAGCAGGGTCTTCCTGAAGAAGACAGATAATAACAGAAGCCACAGCTTGGGGAATTAGTTTTTGGCACCCTAAAGCTGTACTGCAGTGTTTCTTGATTTTTATGGAACTTCACTCTGCCAACTTCCTAGTTCTTCTGTATCTCCTCACCAGTGTAGAAATCTCTTTGAACATACTAGCCTGGCTTCTACTTTATACCATTCCGCAGACCCCCAACTCCCAGACATTCACATTCTAAGCAGTTCGTTTGTTCGTTCTCTCTCTCACTCACACACACACACAGAGACACCAGTTTCAACATCTCCAGCTCCTACATAATCCTTTCCCTGTGTACTTCATCTGCAATCTGAGGTAACTTGACCTGTAAGCAACTAAGAAAACAACCTATTAGACATCCAAGTGGGGCTGTGACCCAAATTTTAGAGGAACTCTGAGCTTTACTTCTAAGCCTGTCACCAACCTTCACAAAAATATTGTCCTCTCCTTCCAGTTTCAGAAACACCGCTGTTAGGTTTATGTGATTACAAGCCCACCTGTCTAAAGCTTTCTTAGGAATATTTGGGAGTTGTTACAATTTTGTCGATCTATCACTGTTTCCTCCAGAGTCACTCCAGCTAAAGAATTGCCAGGGAAGGCAAATGGTGCCCCTTAAAACCCAGCATTTGCTTACACAGATAGCTCTGTTCAGGTTACTAAAATGACATCCTCCTAAACATGATCCCCGACCTTAGTTTACTCAGCTGTTTTTGCTACTCCAGAACAGCTGGAGGTGCAGTGAAGACCTTCTCTCATTGGATCCCATTCCATGATGCATGCAGGAGCCGAGAGGGCAGGAGATAAAATGCCCTGGATCAGTTATCAGAAATGACAAGAATATGAACCTGCCCTCCGCCACCAACTGTGTGTAAAGAAAAATGCCAGCAACCAAAGGCTTTTGAATGAACAAAAAAGGGGATGCATATCAGACCCATGAAATTAAGAGAAGGGAACAACTACCCAAACACCAGCACGCTTCTGAAATAACCAGATGGCTGGACAAAGGTTATGTAAAAATAAATTCTCACAGTGCACATTTCCTTCTCTGGAGAGAAAACCTCAAAGTATCCGTATAGGCATCTTCAGATTTGCAACGGCCAGACAAGCAGTGAACATGTAGAGTAAAAATCAGATTCAGATTTCTCGCCCTCTTCATTGCTTGCTCGACAGCAGTGATGGGGCTGAAATTCTCTATTGCTGGTGGGAAGAGCACACCATGATGTCGATCCCACAGGAAAGAAGCTGTTTTAGACTCTTGGTTTGCTGTTGGTTACACAGAAAGTGCAAGCAAAGGACAGTGCATGCATTTGCAAGTGGCAAAGGAGGTATAAAAATGCCCTCAAGGACAGAAGGGATCTGCCACATAACAAGGACTGCTGCAGAAGTATATGGTAATTATCATAAGAACTCCTAGCTGGGGACACAGTTAGACCCACAGAGCCCAAGGAAGAGAAGGGATGAGGATCCAGAGAGCTAAAGGAAGATTTCCCTATTCATAATGGAGCTCCTTGAATTAGCTCTATACGGACAGATGAAAGAACGCATTCTCAAGCAGCAGCTGATATGACATGCTTGATTCCCCAGACTTTCAGTAAGTCAGACTTGAACATTGTTGCAATAGTATGCATCCACAGAAATAAACTGGGAGGTGGGTTACTGCTGCAGCTGGCATAATGTCTTTTAACTACTGCCTCTTATCATATCATGCCGTCTGATAACAGCTTTTATTGGGGGCGCTGAAAGAGCATGTGAAGTCTTGCTTGTGCAAGAGCATTCTGAAACTGTGAAAGAGCTGACAACCCCTCACCTTCACAGGAGACTTTCTGCTGCTTTAATTTAAAAATATTATCTGATAATTCCTGCAAGCCAAGTCCTGCACCAAGTTCCAGTTCTTAGTGCACAGTGTATGCACTAGACATGAAGATTGTAAGGATCTCTGCTTTTCATTCTCAACACTCTAAACATTCCCACCCCCTCACTCACCATTTAGCCAGCGGGAGTTGTACTGGTCAGTCCTCATGGCAGTCTGCTTGCCCATGGTCCGGAAGATGGCAGCATCAGTGCCCATGAAGTCAATGTAGACGCCTGCATAGAGTTCTTCATCTGTGGCAAAGACAGAAATCAGCAAAGAATGCTGTTGGGTATTACAAGTTAAATTACACTCAGTATATCTGGGGTTAAATGTTTGTTTGTGTTGTCACAGGAAATCACATGTTTCTCATGTAGCCAATGCTTGTTAGATGTAAGAAGCCCGTGAATTTTCTCCCTGATCTAGGAGTTTGATTGGAGTGATAGTGTCAAAGTGTTTTAGCATTTTATGGCTCCTCTTCCCGTCTTTGTCTGGAGTTCTGAAGCAGTAAGAAGAGCAGCCATTACCTCTCTTCTAGTCTTGTCTTTTGTAGTGTAAAGATGTAGGGAATTTACCTCTGTTGTTATTTTCATCCCAGTTACCCTTCCCCATGCTAGAATGTAGTAAAAACTTTTTATTTTAAACACACATGGACTCTGAGTCTGAATTATTTTACTCTGGCACTGCTAAGCTATTTTTATCTCTGCTAAAAACCAATTTTTAAAACCCAACAAATGCATAACTATTCTCCACATGAGAGAACTAAAATTGCCCAAGCACATGACAATAAACAGTATCGTACTGCAAGCTAGAAATGAAATCCAGAATCACATTTATCCAGAATTCCCATCCATACGCCACTGGTCCAGCTGAGGGAGGGATCAGGAAAAAACCATGGTTAGTCCTCATCTTACTGTGCTTACGTCATCTTTGGGAAGATGGGGATATTTCTTCCATGGCACCAGCCCAAACACAGGAGACTCTCGGCAACATTGGACATGACATTGATGTAAAGGGAACAGGAAATGCAAGCAACTCAAGTTTCTTTTTCCTCTGCCCTCTCCCCCTCTCCTCACAAGGAGATATGAAACAGGAGTTCATACAGCTCCCCATAAGGAGAAATGATATATTTCAGGCACTAGTGATGGAGACGGTATTGCCAGACAGAACTTCATTTTGGTCCGGAATCATCATACAGAAAGGGGGGAGGGGAAATCTTAGCTTTCTCCAGCACCCTTTCTCTCAGGCAGCAACAACCCCAGGCATAACGGCTGCCCCTCACACTTCAGGAAGTTTAACAGGGCAGGGATCTAAGGTTACTTTCTCTTCTCCCCATCTATTTTTTTTTTTGACAAAAACACCCCTCCCCCCAAACCCACAGCCGTTTCCATTCTAGTCTAGTAGCATTACCCATAATCATCATGGACAAGCTGAGGAGAAGGAAGGAGGGGAGGCAGGCCCTACTCCCACACTCTGCTGCCATAGCTACTGCTACTGAATACATGACCAGAACTCTCCTCTAGCTGAAGCAACAGGAAAGCAGAAAGAGTCACATTATATTTTCTTATTAGTACCCTTAGGCTGCTGCCACACGGGACGGCTGAAACATGGCTAAGCAGAGCCGCACCGAACTTGAGACGCCGCGGCGGGATCCCACGGATCCCCTCAGCCGCGGCGCATCGCTCACCGGCACGATCAGATGCTCGAGCATGCGCAGTACGACCGGGGGCCGGGATGCGGTGGCGCAAGGACACGCCGCCCGATCCCACGGCCTGGTTTGCGGCGCTGGAAGGGATATAAGCACTTAGGTAGGTGGTTCTTTTTTACAGCGCGGTATCGCCGTTTGGGACAGAACAGGGACGGGCAGGCAACGATTCCCAGATGTTGCCGTGGGATCGTGCCCGTTTGCTCCGCCCCCGTTCCATCCCGCTCCCGGCCCAAAAGGCCTCGTATGGACAGGACCTTAGTTGAGAATAAACAAAGAATTGCAGCACAAGTTATTCCTCAACTGAGCAATCCTGAATTTTCATTTATTTGTATATGAGAGGTTGTTCATTTGTTGTGAGGCACCTGTGCTTCCTGTTCTCCCTGTCATCAATGGTGCATCCAAAGCAACATGGTGGGGGGCAGTAGGGTATCCAACTCCAGCTTTGGAAATACCTGGAGGTTTGAGGGTGGAGCCTGGGAGAAGGGAGGGACCCTGGCAGGGTATAATGCCATGTAGCCCACCTTACCTGGAGATTGGCAACCCTAGGGGACAAGAATGAGCATCTATGGAATTAATCTATTTAACCCCCTTTTAAAAACTATGCATTATGTAAGAAGGTAACTATTGTGCTGTATTTATATTTGGTATTTGGTATGAACATGAAGTCAAACTCTGAAGCTGTGAAGTTGCCTTTAGGAAGCGGGGGAAAGTAACAAGGGGTCATTTCTTGTTATGCTAACTTGTTGACTGTAGGGGAAGGCTTAAAATGTTCAAAGGCGGACGAGAAAAAAAAATCGAGATAAACGCTTATTCCCAGCCACCCCCAACCAACCAGGTGCCCTTTCATGTCCTTCCTACTGTTCTCTGAAACACTTATGGAGGTATTAAAGGGGCTTACAAAATGGACCCTAGTTTGTCTGCCAGGCCCAGCACTCAGCCAGGAACCCATGGGCATAAGGGCACAGTCCTTGACTTTCCCAGGCCTGGGTCACAGCTGCTCTCAGATTAATTAAAAAGGTTAGGGCTTGTCATGTAAGTGGATACTTATGCCTGGACAAGATCAGAGGCAGCCAGGCAATATCAGTGGGCTGGGGGATTTGCGGGAAGTGAGAATTTTGACCAGTCCTGGAGCTTACTCCTGGGGGGAGCCTGGTGCAGCTGTTATGCAGCAGCAGGCCTAGGGATTGCAGGACAATGATACCACTGCTAATTATCTCCCTGCTGTGTACTTATGTAATCCCAGCCAATGTAGGCCCTGCAGTGCCCTCCTCATTGGTAAAAGTCTGCTACCAAGTGGCCTGAAAATGGAGGAGGGTCTACTAGAGATGAAAAGGACACATATTGTATGGCAAATTTCAGTGAATGCTCATGTTTGGAATCCTTTTGGAAATGACTGAGGGAAAGTGTGGGGGAGACTAAGGGATGAAGTTAAGAGAACAAATTATGCTTATTTATATATGAAAGTCATAGGAATGAAGGGCATGGGAATTCGATATGTGAGGGGGAGGAACAATATTTTTTCCAGGGAGCAGACATGCTTTGTAGCAGAGGGATCTGGTCAAAATTCAGTTAGGACCTATGTAAATATCTATATATCTAATAGCGAAGTTGCCCCCGGAGTGTGGATCGCTAAATCAGCGCTCCGGGGGCAGCTGGGGGGCCGGGGAAGGTTTGTGCACACGTGGGCCAGTCCCCACGTGTGCACAAAAATAAAAAAAGTTGGAAATTTTTTGGGGGGGATGTTTAAATCCCCCCGAAAGTGCAAGAGCATCTCCTGTGCGTGCGCAGGGAATGTTCTGGAACGTCGCCGCCGGAGCCGGGGGGTGGGGAGAGAGAGAGTGCAAGGTGCCTCAGAGACGGTAAGGGGGGGGGAGAGCCGGAAAGAGACGGAGCCAAGGCCCGCGCGGCGCCCTTGGGTCGGAGCTGGTGGGGGTAGAACAAAAGAGAGAGAGAGAGAGAAAGAGAGAGTGGGGGGTGGAAAGAGAGAGAGAGA